GCCCTCCTTGTTACCACCAGCCACAACCTCACCCTAAACTAGAGGTGGGTGAAAAATACCAAGCATTTTTCACAGACAGTTTTGAATTTTTTTCACATTTTTCAAAATTCCCCAAGAAAAATTTACAAAAAACTGAAACGGAAAAATGGTCCATTTTCAAAAACTGTTTTCATGAAACATTTTCTGATTTTTGAAAACCAAAAATGAATTTATTTTTATTCGAAACCATTTTTTTTAAAACAAAAGCCAAAAAAACATTTTACAAAACATTTTTGGTTTCTGCTTTTTCTATGTTCGTTAAAAAAAGTTTCAATTAAAAATATTTTTCAGAGGTTCATAGATTCCGGGCCCGGCAGTTGGGGCATCCATCACACTGAGGAAATTTAAACTTAAATCCCTGAAAATATTCATTTTTAGGAGGGGGTTCACGAGATTTCACAATTTAGTGAAAGGGGTTCGCAGGCTGTTAAAGTTTGGGAACCACTGCAATAACACTATTAAATGCCTGAGCTCCCTGGGGCAGGGCCTATCTTGTCTGTGGCTGTATAGCACCTCCTAGATGCTACAGTAATACAGAGAATAATAAACAGCGGACACGAAATCTGAACATGACCGAGAGAAGCAGCAGTTATCACCATCCCAGTCGCCCAGAACAAGTACAGTGATGGGAAGACACGACACCAGCCATGCGGAAGGAGTCACATGGTGGTCACGAATGGGCTGATATCCGTTCTGCCAAAATTACATGCATCAGCCCAGCAGCCACTAAGAGGTTTGAAAGAGTATCAGAAAGAAAAACATTCATCCAAACAGGCCAATTAAAGAGATAACCGTCTCCATGTCCACATGGGACAAATAACTAAATCCCCTGGTGCCAATTTACTGCTGCCATGCCAAAGACAATTAAAAACCATCCCTCAAAGCTAATAGGAAGCTGCTGAGGCCCTCAAAGCCACCTGTGTCTCATGCAGAGACACACTGCAGGGCTTTGCTTTTAAAACAAGCCAGATGTCAATATCCTGCACCCCTCGTTGTTTTATTCTTGCCAGACTAAAGGCTGGACCTGGCTTTTGATGACAGCCACGTCTGGCTCCTGATCCCAACAAATGACTCTTCGGTAGCAAGGTGTTACATTTGGTCCATCCCTCTTTGGATACTGGTGTTAACTGAGAGCCCAGACAATGTAAAAAGTTAACTCCTTAGCTCCCGTAGCTGGGAATTTTCTCCTGGCAGAAGACTACGGTGAAACACTGAACTCCCAATGCAGAGTTTTAAGACCTCAGCAGCACTTAGTCCATCATCCAGAACTTGGCTCCACTGTCCAGTGTCATTCTGACCTTTCAAGGTTCCAGAGTTTGACAGAGCCATCAGCTGCACAAGAGGCCAGGTTGATGTCCTTCTTGTCCAGGGAGACAGTAGCCTGGGGATGGAACACTATTGCTCCTACGTTGGTGTTGTGCCCTTAGCGAGGGTGAGAATGAGAGAGAGAGAAAGTCAAAAGACTGCATGCTCTGCTGGGTGATCTCTGCTTCCCCCCACCAGCTCTTCTGACAACAGGTTTTATCAGGTCAGAATTGTGCAACCAAGTTCTGGCTTATTGGACATGGAACCACAGGATTCTTCCTCACTGTGGACTAACCAGGGACTTGGACATCTGGCTAAAGTATGTCAGCACAAACTAGGAAACCCCCCCACCAATTTCAATGACCAGCGACAAACAATGAGCTCATGGCCCCCTCTCCTCCCCTCTCCAGCACTGGTGAAAGTTGCAGAGAGTCACCCACAAAGAATCCAGTTCCCAAAGCATCTTTAGCCAAATAGCAATGGTTTACATTATAACCAGACTCTGAGGGGAATAAGGGTACTTAGCAAAGAGCTTGCATCAGCAAAAGCACTTCTACCTCGTAAAGTATGAACAAGATTGCAGTCAGGCACAGACCAGAGCTTGCACAGGCCACTCCTGTTGAACACAAGAAACATGGTTGGAGTCACAGTCACAACACAGGAGGGATTGCGAACCCCAAAAGCACAGCTCAAAAAACAACTAAGAAAACAGAGTGTGGGGTTACTGCAGTGACTAAAATACTGGTAAACACTGACCTAACTCCCACAAGACTGATCCCTGAAGGGTTAGAGGGGGCTTTGGCAGGCAGTCCACTGAACAGATGAGAAGTCTCCTCCCTTGAGGAGTGATTGTGGGTGAAGGGCTCAACCAGTAGGAGAAGGGACAGTTCTCACTGCTCTTAGTCAATGCAAGAAGAGCCACCTCCAATGCAGAGGTGGAATGTGCCACTCAGTGGGTGGGTGGGTGTTAGCTGCAGGCTCAGATCCTCTTTGTGGTGCAGACACTAGAGCATCACATGATCCCACAAACCACACACTGAAGGGCTGGGCACAGGGCTTGATGCACAGAAGTGAAAAGTGAGGGCATGAAATGCCGGGAATGCTTTGTGACCTTGCTATAAGGGGAACAGATGCTTCAAACCCTTGCTAGGAAGTAGAATGGTGTGAAGGCAGGGTTTAGAAAAGCAGGCATAAGCCTTACTTGAGATCTGAAAACCCTACTCCTAGAGGAATTTTGAACCACTGTGCAAGCGCAGAATTAATGTCCTCCGCAGTCTTTTCCCCCCTGCAGAATAATGTATTCTGATGAGGTGTCCAAGGGAAGCCGTGAGAGGGGTCACACTGCAATTACACCTTTCACCCACCAGAGGCTGATGTGGTGCCAGAAGAGAGGGCACCTGACTCAATGGCTGGAGCAGCCAGCCATGGAGAGGGAGGGGCCAGAGGCTGCCTTCCTCACAGTGCCCTGCCGGTCCAGGTGAGAAGGCACGGGATATATTGGGGAGGGGGTGGGGGAGAGATGGACAGAGTAGCAGGGCACATGGGGATGCTAGGGGTGGTCTCACACAATGGGGTTCAGAAGAGCTAGTAGGGGAGGCAGACTGGGGCAGGGGCACAGGAGCTAGTGGGGTGACATTAAGCCAGGGGCTGAATGGGCCTGGGGGTGAAGGAATACATGGAGACGGGGCAGCTATGGCTGGCTGAGTGAAGGTGCAGGGCCACACAGGGACAAGGGGGTACAGGACCACAAGGGGACATGTGCAGACATGCCTGGCTGAATGGAAAGTTGGGGTGCAAGGACACATGGGAATAGGGCAGATGTACTTGACTAAATGGGAGAGGCTAGGGGTCAGCCAGGGTCTGCATGGGGGATGCTCCCCAACTCCCTAACAATCCCCCCCCCCCAAATCCTATTCCATAGTTCTCCCACCAACACCCAACAACCCTCTGGGTTCACTCCCAGGCTGCTTCCCAGCAATTACTTCCCTCTCCCTCAGCTCCTCCATTACCCCTGAATCCCCCCAAGCCTTCTCACTGCTTCTGAGGGGTGCAGAAAATACACACTTGTATTGTAGTTTAAATGAATCATTGCTCAAAGTTCTGTATTAATATGCCTAGTAAGGGATCTATTTGTCAAAAAACATTTCCTGAATCTTTTTTGGTCTATATTGTTACAGACACTTGTTAATGGATATTTTGAAATAAATTACCAAAATAATTGAAATGGGTGTGATTATATTTGACAAAAAATATGCAGAATATTGCAGAATTTTAAAATATTGTGCACAATCTTTAAAAAAAATTGGCACAGAATTCCCCCAAGAATAAATCTCCCAGGACTCTGCCACATCCTTCTCACCCCTCCCAAAAGGTATTGTAAAAGGAAACTGACCAGCAGGCTGTAGCGAGGAGTTTGGAATTGGGACTGAAATGGCAGTAAGATATCGGGCGGTCATCCCCAATCTGACTGCAGAAATTATTCAAGGACTGCAAAGACATAGAGACAACTCTGACTCAAAACAGCACAAACCAGCAAGAGCCTCCCCTTTTTAAGGAGGCCATTCAAGTGACACACCCAAGCAAAGAGAACGGAGACCTTCACCAAGTCACTCTGCAAAGAGGTGAACTGCCCCAGCACCATGCCAATTCCATGGAGCAGACACATTGTACTGTAGGGCAGGTCTACACGACAAAATTAAGTTGACTTAACTCAATGTACTGCCACTGCAGTAATTAAAGCAGTGGTTCCCATCCACACTACGTACCTTCTGTCTGTGCTGTGCTTCCTCACCAGGAGCACTTCCACCAAGATATTATGGGGCACTGACAGCTGTGAGTCCTGCACAGGGCGGGGCTGACAGCCGAAAGGTGATGTAAGTAATGCAGTGTCTATATGAACACCTTGTCACCCTAACTACATTGATCTAAGTGCTACACCTCTCACGGAGGTGGAGTTATTAAATCAATGTAGTAGGCGACTTACATCGGTGGGATTTTTAGTGTAGACGCTTAGAGTTAGATCAGCATAAGCTCTCAGCTTGCTGGGCCCTGCACTACTGGATATGTTTGAAGGTGCACTTCAAAGTGTTGGTTCTGATCCAGAGAGCCCTATGTGGTCTGGGTCCCTCTTTTCCTACATACCGGGTGCAATCGCCATTGATTTTGCCAGGGCTAGTGGCAGGGTGTTCTCAGGAAAGAGTCCACCCATCTAAAGCTGCCCCCTCTGGAGGTATTAGGTACAATATTACTAGCTTTAGGGCACAGTGTGAGAACGCTCTGTTAATTGGCTTCTAGTTCCATTTTTACAGAAGGGGGGGGGGGTTCATTGACTCATTCTGAAACAATTGTTACTATGTTGGTTTTTTCAATTGGTTTAAGGCTCCCAGGTGTCAAGGAAGCAGGTGAGAGAACAATCTTTAAAAAAAAACCATGATCCCTCTTCCCTGCTGAAAAAAAGCCAGTGACCAGCCCAGGCAGTTTCTTTATCACCATAGGCTACTCGTGCAGAAGTGCACAGATGTGTCTCCATCCCTTTGCCCTGCAGGGAGAGGATTAATAGAACTGCGCGGATACAAATTTATATCCATGGATGCAGATATCTGCAGGTATAAATCGGCATCGGTGGAACTGCAGGGCTCTCCCGGGAACCGCAGTGGGGAAAGGAGCAGAATGTGGGGCCGCTGCTCCCAGGAGCCAATGCCCCATGCTGGCAGGTCCTCTGGCGCAGCTATAATGCCTCCGCCCTGCCCCCGTCCTTTCCATGCAGTTGACTGCGTCTCCTGTTTGGGATATAAATTTGTATCCGTGCAGGGCTATAAGGATTAAACCCAAACCCTGTCCTCTGAATCACTGACGGGACAGGACCATTTTAGGTTCAAGGCCCAGCCTGGTCACACGATCAGAGAAGGGGTAGAGCATGCTAGGCAGGGCTTGGAGAATAACATGCAGCTGGGAAGTCACTCTAGGCCTAGGAGCTTTGCTCTGGTAGAGCCATCTCTTGCTGATCACTTATGATCAGAGATAAAACCACCCCTTACCCTCAGGGATTTGTGCAGTTCTTGCTTCTGGGATGTCCTGGTCGCCTCTGGAATCTCTTTGTACAGACGGGCTTCTTCCAGCCGCTTTGTTGCCCTGTGGCATGAGCAATATTAGAGTGATTATACCTCACATCCCCCTGCCCTAGGGCTGGCATAGGTCCTGTCCTCTCCTTCCTGGCCTCAAAGCTGGGCTATTGCCAGCGCTAGTCATGTGTACAACCCCATAGTCCTTTATGCTTGGCTCCAACCACAGCTATGAGTCCCCTGTTCTCAAGCTCCCAGCTTTGCCCACCACAGGGCAATCATTAGCTTGGTTTAACAAGTCTGCTGCTCCTTATAACAGCTCATGTCTTCTCCCACTGTTTTCAATTTGTAACCTGGTTCCTTACCTGGGGAGCGAGTAGTTGGCGATCCACAGCCTAGCTATTTTCAGGCTGTTGGGCCCTTCATGGTACCAAGTTTGCTGATACTAACAAACAAAAAAAACGCAGAAAAAGTTTGAGTGATGCCACTGCAGCATCTGCTGTTAAACCTGTGCTGAGAGTGGGAAGCAGCTATTTTCGGGGGTTTATAAAGTGTGTGGATTAGTGTGGCTCTACTATCCCTAGAGAAGGGTTTAAGGCAGACGTGTCACACATACGGTCTCATGGACCAGATTTGGCTTGTCTGAGATGTTTAAATAGCCCACATGCCATGTTCAGATTGCGCAGTCTCAGCTTTTCATTTAACCACTGCATAGTTAATTATTTTAGCAGATGGAAGGGGGAAGGAAGTCCAGGGAGTGGGAAGTGAGAGTTGCTGCAAGGAAGAGAACGCAGAGAGAAGAATAAAGGAAAAACAAAATGAAGAGGGAGAGAAAGGAGGGTGGAGAAGGGCAGAAAAAGTGGTGTGGTGGCTCAAAGTGGGTGGCAAAGACAATGAATGTGGCAATAAAGTACTTAATAATAGTAATTAAAAGGTTAATTACTCTAAAAGGACACATTCTGGCCTTGCTCTTCATGCAGTCCTCTCATTGCCAGCAGCAAGTTTTCTGTTGTGGAAGGAGCGGGGCATGGAGCCCTACATCTACACTTCTGGCTCATGGACAATAACTAAATGTGGAATGCAGCCTTTTCTACACAATAAATTTGATACCCCTGATTTAATAGGTTATAAAAGTGGAAGCAACAGGCTTTTTCAAATGGGTAGTAGTGGCAGGAAGGGATGATGCGTGGAGTGAATTCATACTATCAGACCCTCTATTGAAACAAGAATCCACCAGGATAGAGGCCTGGAAATAATATAGGCTGCCAAACAGGCTGTCAAGCAGCCTCCTCCTCTCTGCATTAACAGCCAGCAGACACTAAGAATGGGAGATTTTACCTCTTCTTTGGATTTCTTAGATTTTTCATCATCTTTCTTGGTCTTTTTTAAGGCATCTGTGCCAACCACCGAGAGAATATTTCTCAATCTGTAATGAGATGCATCAAAAGTTAACCCTATTCACTCAGTGAGTTCTAGATAATCTTGGCCAGGAGAGATGGTCAGTTTCTTTCACTGTCGCCTCCCTTCAACTCCTTCTACATCACCATGAAGACTCACTGGTCAACAATACTCACTGCACTCAACATCTCAAGGAATTTGACAGGAGATTTGAATGGGGTGGGGGTGGTTACCACTATCAGCCACACAGAGGACTAGGCACAGCACCTCTCTCTCCGTTCTGCAGGCCCCTCTCCAAAGAGCGTGATGGGCTCCCCAAGTGCTCGTAGGCATGCCTTGACTTCAGAGTCATCTGTGGAAACGTTGATCTGCCTGGCACGCTTCCTGCGCTCAAACTCAGCCAACACTTCTGCCTGACGCTCACTTATGTGGTCTTCAAGATCAAAGACCTCACCTACGCCAGAAACAGAGCCATCAGATTAAAACAACAACAAATGAAATTAAAGCAGCAAAGGTTTGGACAATTCTAACCACAAAAAAATATATATAATTTAAAAATGATTCTCACAACCATTTAAAGCAGGTCCCTTCCAACCCTGATATTCTATGATTCTATGCTATTTGGTACCAGCAATGGCATGTTCCTCCAGACACCCTGCTCAAATCAAGATGGTGCACTGGATATTAGGACTTCTAGTCTCAGCAGCCCCAACCTCTGTATTGAAGTTCAGCAGCTGATTAAGTACAGCCCTCAGGCTTCTGGCAAGCTGCCAGCATGCCTAGGGTCCTATTAAATCCATTTTATTTTTGTGGATTTTTAGATTTATTTTTTAAAAATGAATTCACTCTTCTCCAGCCCTGGAGCCACAGCCAGGAGCGAGAAAAGGAATTCCGTGTTATTGTTTTGCTTCCGTGATTCCGTCTGTGTTCTTGTTAACGTAGATTTCAGAGGCCCTACATGCCTTTCAGCTGGGCAAAGTTTGTGCATCTACAATTTTGGCCAATATTCAAACCTATCCTTATAAACACTCTCTAAGTCAGTTAAAAATTAATTCCATCTTTTGGGGTGGGTGGGTGTTTAAATCAAGATTGTTTGATACACGGACAATAATTAAGTAGCCTTACTATAAATGCATAAAAATGTTCAGAACTGAATTGCAATGGGAAAAGCTGATTTTAAAAAAATGTCTACAATTTAAACAAAACATCCTGCAAATATACAGTATATGGTAAAAGTGACACATTTTAAATCACCTTTTAAAGTAGCACTCAGTAATATGACCAATCTGACATTGCTGAACAGTAACACAAGAAGTCCACAGTAGTGTGTGTGTGTGTGTGTGTGTGTGTTAGGGGAGTTAGTGAGACAGCGTGTGTGTTAGGGGAGTATGTCTGCATGCTGTCTCTTTAAGCAGTGCACTCACCAGTCTGAACACTTGTTCAGACAGCAGCCAGGCTGAGCCAGAAGCTGGTGCACACAGTTGCCCCTTTGTCCCCCCACCCAAGCTGGGACTGGGTATACCAGCAGGGGGAGGGGGACAACCTGACATCTGTGCCCCTCTCCCACCGCACACACCACAGCAGATCGGGGGCCCCCAATCGAGAGCAGCTTGACTAAGTGCGGCTGTACCTAGCTCAGCCATGCAGCCCTCCCTGACAGTGTCCTGCAGCAGCCCTAGTGGCAGGGAGAGCAGGATTCCACGTTAATGTTTTGATTCTGTGATTCCGTCTGTGTTCTCGTTAATGCAGATTTCACAGGGCCCAAACAAGAAGAGGGTGTTACACAGAGTGCACTCTTACCGCTGGTTATGTTAATATTGCCTGCTTCAATCGCAGCTTTCACTCTATCTCTTCCCAGCAGCCCTGATTCTCCTTTGGCAAGACGTTCCCTTTCCTTCTCCTCCAAACTGCCGTAGAAGATATGGGATCTCTTGGGTGGGGGAGCATCACTGTCCTCTGAGAGCTTGTTTTTTGTTGCCTGGAGAATAAAGGCAGGATTTCAAAAGACTCGTTAGATATTTATCTGGCTACAAAGCAGCAATTCAGCAATCTCTTCAGCTGTGAGAGACAGCATCCCCCAGGAGAAAGAGTTAATGAGGTCATCCAGGTGAGAAGCCCTGAAATTATATATAAAAGTTCATTTGAACATCGAGTCTATTCCCCAGCAAAACTGTGTTAAAGAAGAGTTAGCAGCAAAGGAGTTTTAAAAAAACTGGACATGTGATCTTTTCTGCTTCTTTATGATGTTAACAAAAATCCTCTCAGGCTCTCCTTAACTTTTTTTCCCCTGCTAGTTTCTTCCTTTGGGGCTACACTTGAAAGTTAATTTTGATTAAGGTAGGTGCAAATTTAAACGGCATCAGCTATTTCTGATTAACTCCCTGCGAGGACGCTCTTATTCTGAAATAAGAGTGCCGCCTTGCTCCTCTCGAATCAGCTAAACCAGAACACCACACTCATGCTCCAGAATATGAGCATGCACACAGAGATATTCCTGAATAACTCCATGTAGAGACAAGCCCTTAAAATGTAGAGTCTGCCCTTCCCTAGCTTTTCTGGAGGACGTCTGGGTGATAAGGCATGTCTTAACACTCTAACTGAAAGAAGGAAGGATCTGAATCTTTCACAAGGAATTTCATTATTCAAAACATTACTTAGCCTTAGAAGCTAAATAGGTTTTACTAAAAGTAAACAGAAGAAAAATGAACAGGAGTACTTGTGGCACCTTAGAGACTAACAAATTTTAGAAGAAAAATGTTAATGTGCCACTCCCCGGCCCCGCACGACCAGTAATCCCTTCTCCACTTTAAAGCTGAACCTTCTCTGATCTTCAGATAAGAACATAAGAACGGCCATATTGGGTCAGACCAAAGGTCCATCCAGCCCAGTATCCTGTCTGCCGACAGTGGCCAATGCCAGGTGCCCCAGAGGGAGTGAACCTAACAGGTAACGATCAAGTGATCTCTCTCCTGCCATCCAGCTCCATCCTCTGACAAACAAAGGCTAGGGACACCATTCCTTACCCATCCTCGCTAATAGCCATTAATGGACTTAACCGCCATGAATTTATCTACTTCTCTTTTAAATCCTGTTATAGTCCTAGCCTTCACAACCTCCTCAGGCAAGAAATTCCACAGGTTGACTGTGTGCTGTGTGAAGAACTTCCTTTTATTTGTTTTAAACCTGCTGCTCATTAATTTCATTTGGTGGCCCCTAGTTCTTATATTATGGGAACAGGTAAATAACTTTTCCCTATTCACTTTCTCCTCACCACTCATGATTTTATAGACCTTTATCATATCCCCCCTTAGTCTTCTCTTTTCCAAGCTGAAAAGTCCTAGCCTCTTTACTCTCTCCTCATATGGGACCTGTTCCAAACCCCTAATCATTTTGGTTGCCCTTCTCTGAACCTTTTCTAATGCCAGTACATCTTTTTTGAGATGAAGAGACCACATCTGTATGTAGTATTCAAGATGTGGGCGTACCATGGCTTTATATAAGTGCAATATAAAGAGATAGAGTGAAAGCTGTCTTACTCTCTATCCCTTTTTAAATGATTCCTAACATCCTGTTTGCTTTTTTGACTGCCGCTGCACACTGCGTGGACGTCTTCAGAGAACTATCCACAATGACTCCAAGAACTCTTTCCTGATTAGTTGTAGCTAAATTAGTCCCATTATATTGTATGTATAGTTGGTGTTATTTTTTCCAATGTGCATTACTTTACATTTATCCACATAAAATTTCATTTGCCATTTTGTTGCCCAATCACTTAGTTTTGTGAGATCTTTTTGAAGTTCTTCACAGTCTGCTTCGGTCTTAACTATCTTGAGCAGTTTAGGATCATCTGCAAACTTTGCCACCTCACTGTTTACCCCTTTCTCCAGATCATTTGTGAATAAGTTGAATAGGATTGGTCCTAGGACTGACTCTTGGGGAACACCACTAGTTACCCCTCTCCATTCTGAAAATTTACCATTTATTCCTACCCTTCGTTCCCTGTCTTTTAACCAGTTCTCAAGCCATGAAAGGACCTTCCCTCTTATCCCCTGACAACTTAATTTACGCAAGAGCCTTTGGTGAGGGACGTTGTCAAAGGCTTTCTGGAAATCTAAGTACACTACATCCACTGGATCCCCCTTGTCCACATGTTCGTTGACCCCTTCAAAGAACGCTAATAGATTAGTAAGACATGATTTCCCTTTACAGAAACCATGTTGACTTTTGCCCAACAATTTATGTTCTTCTATGTGTCTGACAATTTTATTCTTTACTATTGTTTCAACTAATTTGCCCAGTACTGATGTTAGACTTACCGGTCTGTAATCGCTGGGATCACCTCTAGAGCCCTTTTTAAATATTGGTGTTACATTGCTATCTTCCAGTCATTGGGTACAGAAGCTGATTTAAAGGATAGGTTACATACCATAGTTAATAATTCCGCAATTTCACGAGTTGAGTTCTTTCAGAACTCTTGGGTGAATGCCATCTGGTCCTGGTGACTTGTTACTGTTAAGTTCATAAATTAATTCCAAAACCCTCCTCTAATGACACTTCAATCTGTGACAATTCCTCAGATTTGTCACCTACAAAGGATGTCTAAGGTTTGGGAATCTCCCTAACATCCTCAGCCATGAAGACTGAAGCAAAGAATTCATTTAGTTTCTCTGCAATGACTTTATCGTCTTTAAGTGCTCATTTTGTATCTCAATCGTCCAGGGGCCCCACTGGTTGTTTAGCAGGCTTCCTGCTTCTGATACACTTAAAAAACATTTTGTTATTACCTTTTAAGTTTTTGGCTAGCTGTTCTTCAAACTCCTTTTTGGCTTATTACATTTTTACACTTAATTTGGCAGTGTTTATGCTCCTTTCTATTTACCTCACTAGGAACTGACCTCCATTTTTAAAAAGATGCCTTTTTATCTCTCACTGCTTCTTTTACATGGTTGTAAGCCACAGTGGCGCTTTTTTAGTTCTTTGACTGTGTTTTTTAATTTGGGGTATACGTTTAAGTTGGGCCTCTATTATGGTGTCTTTGAAAAGTGTCCATGCAGCTTGCAGGGATTTACTCTAGTCACTGTACCTTTTAATTTCTGTTTACCTAATCTCCTCATTTTTGCATAGTTCCCCTTTCTGAAATTAAATGCCACAGTGTTGGGCTGCTAAGGTGTTCTTCCCACCACAGGAATGTTAAATGTTATATTATGGTCACTATTTCCAAGTGGTCCTGTTATAGTTACCTCTTGGACCAGATCCTGCGCTCCACTCAGGACTAAATCGAGAATTGCCTCTCCCCTTGTGGGTTCCTGTACAGCTGCTCCAAGAAGCTGTCATTTAAAGTATCAAGAAATTTTGTATCTGTATTTTGTCCTGAGGTGACATGTACCCAGTCAATATGGGGGATAATTGAAATCCCCCACTATTATTGAGTTCTTTATTTTGATAGCCTCTCTAATCTCCCTCAGCATTTCATAGTCTCTATCACTGTCCTGGTGAGGTGGTCGATAATAGATCCCTACTGTTATATTCTTATTAGAGCATGGAATTACTATCCATAGAGATTCTATGGAACATGTGGATTCATTTAAGATTTTTACTTCATTTGATTCTACATTCTCTTTCACATATAGTGCCACTCCCCGGCCCCGCACGACCTGTTCTGTCTTTCCGATATATTTTGTACCCCAGAATGATTGTGTCCCATTGATTGTCCTCACTCCACCAGGTTTCTGTGATGCCTTTATATCAATATCCTCCTTTAACACAAGGCACTCTAGTTCACACATCTTATTATTTAGACTTCTAGCATTTGTGTACAATCACTTAAAAAACTTGTCACTCTTTATTTGTCTGCCCTTTTCTGATGTATCAGATTCTTTTTATGTGAATGTTTCTCGTCCGATCTGGCCCATTCTTTATCCTCTTCCATCCTCTCCTCCTGACTAAAACCTAGAGAATCTCTTTCAATAGACTCTCCTCCAAGAGAAGTCTCTGTCTGATGCACTTGCTCCTCTGCAGCAATCAGCTTTCCCCCCATCTCTTAGTTTAAAAACTGCTCTGCAACCTTTTTAATGTTAAGTGCCAGCAGTTTGGAGCCACTTTGGTTTAGGTGGAGCCCATCCATCCTGAATACGTTCCCCCTATCCCAAAAGTTTCCCAGTTCCTAATAAATCTAAACCCCTCCTCTCTACACCATCATCTCATCCACGCATTGAGACTCTGAAGCTCTGCCTGCCTACCTGGCCCTGCACGTGGAACTGGAAGCATTTCTGAGAATGCCACCATAGAGGTCCTGGATTTCAGTCTCTTTCCTAGCAGCCTAAATTTGGCCTCCAGAACGTCTCTCCTACCCTTCCCTATGTCATTGGTACCTACATGTACCACAACCACAGGCTCCTCCCCAGCACTACACATAAGTCTATCTAGATGCCTCGAGAGATCCGCAACCTTCGCACCAGGCAGGCAAGTCACCATACGGTTCTCCCGGTCGTTACAAACCCTGCTATCTATGTTTCTAATGATCGAATCTCCCTTTACTAGCACCTGCCTTTTCCTAATGACTGGAGTTCCCTCCCCCGGAGAGGTAACCTCAGTGCAAGAGGATACCCCAACATCATCTGAAAGGAGGGTCCCAACTATGAGAAGGTTTCCCTCTGCTCCTTCCTTCTGATCACAATTGTCACCATTTCACAAGTTCTCCATCAGAGAATCTTTTAATATAGACAGGTCCTTAATTTCTCCTGTAGAAAACAAGTGGGAAAAACAAACTTTAAAAACCCACACTTTCTTCCCTTCTTTATCCATCAGATAGAAGCAAAAAGGGTACAAAACTATTTGCAGGTCACCTTTAAGACTGACAATGTTTTTCAATGGAGTCCAGCTAATATGCACAACAAAATTACACTCCCTACAAATTATTAAGACCTCCAAAAGCAAAAAGACCCCAGACTGTTGGAAAATGTAGCTGTGAAGCTGAGG